AAATAGTTAATATTTCTAATAAACGTTTTCACTTCGGGGTTCCTTTTCACAAAAAAAAGCTTGATTGATACAGGATAGCGTGGAGAGACTTCAGTTTCCTTTGAGGGAAAACAGATGGAAATGTGCTGATGGTTAGGAAAAAGGATCACATCGGTAAGAAAAGGGTTGAATAAACGAGACATTATATGTGTATCGATCCACCAAATAAAATCAAAAGCGATCACTGGCAAGGGAACGGTCATGAGCTCCAACGTAGACCATTCGTAGAGAGCATATCAATTCTGTTGATAGACATAGAGAAAAGATTTGATGAGAAAGTTGCTCATGTGTGTCTGAAGGAGATTCCCTGAACTTGGTTCAGAGACCATTTGCTCATGGGCTTGAAATGTTCGAGACAGGAGAATGAGAATAGATAGAAGTGGCTGTTGCTTGATTTTGGTGCCAGACAGAAACGAGAAGGCAGTTTAACATTAAAATAGAGTTGACAATCACAACAGCGACAATGCTATTTCATGAGGCAATAGTTTTCATTCTTGACGCAAGTGGGGACCGAAGCCGTTGAGAACTCCCATAACACCAAAGACAGGCCACAGAACGCTGCTCTACCTAGAGTGCCACGAAAGTTTTTGACAGTCTCGTCAATAGCGCCATTCGGAGTCTGGTCCCTATTCAGTGAGTGTGTTCATAGGTCAGGGCATAAATCCCCCTCACATAGCAAGTGGCACATTTGTACGAAGGATGGAATCATTCTTGACATTTGCTAGGCTCAAAATTAACCCTGACCAGCAATACGAGCCTCTTACGCCAACTCGAAGAAGAAATGAATAGTAACTGACCGATGTGATTATGGCCACCACCCAAAGGCTAAACACTGATGGGGACTATTTGAGCATTACTATCTGCTCCCATCTGTAAAAATGTAGCCGAAGCAAAGGCTTCAGGAGAGTGGTTGACAAGTTTTTGCTATAAAGTGTAGTGTATCTACTGCTATATGATCAGAAAAAAAGTCAAAATGTCCACCCATTTTGAGTTCTGTATCGCCAGCTAGTGGTTGCCAACTTTTTCACTCACATCTTCATAATGGTGGTAGGCGAGGAGTTCACACAGCTCAGCGCTATCTTTGCAAATAAAACCATTGAGAAATCATCTAAGCAAAGAAAAAGGTTGTGAAACTTTCAATGAGTTGGGTGGTGATCGTAGCAGTTAAACTTACTTTCGCTAATAGGCACCAGCACCCTGAAGAGGTTCTGCTCGAAAACAGCCGCTGGTACAAATTCGGGCCATTTTCTGAAAAGAATAAACTGAAATTCATCTATTATTCTAAGTATTCATTAAAAATATTCCAAACAAATACGGTCGCATGTTCAGGATTGCTCTAGGCTCTAGGAAGTAAACAAGAAGTTGTTAAATTCCACAGCTATATTGACAAACGGTAAAAAAAAAAGTTGATGAAACCAGCTACGAACAAAAGCAGATACAATACATACATAAAACAAAACAAAACATACAGACTTGACTTCAGATGAAAAAAAACCACTTAAATAATATAAAAAAATAGGAAAAAAAATCAAAAAAGGTTTTTCGGGCGGTTCAGAAGACCGCCACCGACCCGCCTCGCGCATCTCCTTTCCCGCCTTTATCGACCCCCTACCTACCCACCCCCCTCAGTCTTTGCCATAGCTCAAATATCTAGAATGGACTCAATTATTTAGGCTATTACTCGTACAGGTTAAGAATGGATTGACGAATCGCCTGTCATTGTTGGTAGAAATAGGAACTGTATTGAGGCTCGATTCGAACATCGAGTTTTTTTTTGATGAAATACTTTGTACGGGAAGCGGTGGGTTAGGGCCAAAAGCCGCCAAAGCCCTCTAGGCTTTCCATTTCTGTGGTTCTCTTTGATTCTATAGAGTTGGTGCCAGTGGTGTGGGTAAACGACAGATGTGCGCCGCCACCTTTATTCCTTTTATGGGAGCCATGCTATGTACTGCAGTTCTGGGAGAATAATCAAGCAAGTCAGGGAATCCAAAAGCATCTATAGGTACAAGACTGGAGTCATTATGTAGACAAACCAGATACCACAAACTCATGAATATTAGGCCGTTCAGAGAGTATCGGCCATAAGTTATGTAACGGTCCTGACTTTTTTTAGAATATTTCTTCCATGTGCATACATAAAGACACTACCCACTTGAATGCGCATAACATGTACGGCTACCTCTTATTCCCTTATTCAACCATATAATGACTAAAGTGTCCCCGATATCCCTGATATTCGTGTTCAAATCCTTCCCTTCGCTGCTAGATCCCGCTGAAATTTATATCAGATGTAGAAACACCAGAATACCAGAGAGATAGACAAGTTCGATGTTGATGTAAACTGCAGAAACCGATCAAGATTTTGAAACTGAAAGGACTGTCTGGAGCAGGGTTACCAACAGAATCTCCATAGACCTATAACATAACTTTTCTTGAAAGAAATCCTGCAGAGTTATGGGTATTGGAAAGAAAGGGGAGATAAAAAGTCGCGAAAGAGAAGAGAGGAGCCAACGATGGTCGCTGCCGCTGGCTGTACACGTGGCCCCTTCGGCTGTGCTTGAATCAAAAAGTTCAGCCCTTCAGAATCGGTCATGGTTAAGTCCCTCTGACCTAATCCGGTGTCGAAGAGTAACAGAACTAGTAGGAACTCGTGTTCAACTCAAAAGTTACTGTATAGGCCGTGTACGCAGGCAGGCAAAGGCCATTAACATTTCAAATGACCCTTGAGTCATCTCATATTGATACATATCGAGACCTCATTCTCAACAGATTCGTGAAAAGGTCATTTATACCCTCCATTGAATGGAAGAGCACCATTTCCAAGCGAATGGCTTCATTCGAAGGACTAGAATGGGGACAACCAAACCAGTTTTGATTCATACCAGTATGCCGTTGGGTTAGCTACTTTTTCAACAGCCATCAAGTCCGGATACTTTGTCAGAATAAAAGCCACTCTGACGGCATTCCCATCTGTCTACCAGGCCTGATTTGACACAGCGAACGACCATCGTTGATTGGTCTTCTTCTGCTGCCCTTAACTTCATTTGAAAACGTCAGAAGCCGCCCATCATCCATCTTCTAAGGCAACGACATTCCCATACATCTTTCCCATATCGCAGTAGACAGTTTAGATAACCGTTTCCTTACTTATCTGCTACAGTATCCTCACTTCGCCTCATCACTTCGGCAAGATTGGTTTCATTCCAATCTTAAAATCAAGGATTCAAAAGATCCATTCTTCAAGCTTTCTCAATTTCACTTCATTCGGCTAATGAAGCGGCTGGCAATTCAACCTTTGCAAAAGCCTCACCCACTTGATTTATATACCCAATGCACTGGCTAGATGGGACGTATGCCTGCGCCCCAGCCATTTACCCATCCGATTTAGTGACGACCTATGTATGTCTCATGTTCAGATTACTCTTTCTGATCCGTAGCGACCAGAAATTACAAAGGTTCGCTTTTTCAGTTCGCCAGAAAGTTTTTTGCCTTCAGTCAGCTGTATCCACAAGAAACGGAGCTTCAGAAGGCTGCAAACGTTTCTCGAAAATTTTCAAATGGCAAACAATTCCAACGGCTTTCAAATGACTTATAAACTACGAAGTTTTTTCGTATTCTTCACGTCATCCATCTGTTTTACGACATGTCTGACTCATCAAAACAACCGATGATATCTGTCAGTCTCATGACAGAATTGATAACATCCTAGGGAAAAACTCAATTAATTAAGCTTTTTGAGCCTAAACAAATTAATTAAGCATCTCTGAGTCTCTAGTACACCAAAATATATTGTCCACCTTGTATTTTGGCATCAGAAAAAGTAAAAATTACAGTTCTTAGAAAAGTTCACCGATAATTGTCGAAAGAGTTGAGTTCAGAGAACTCAACGCAGTAAATTCTCACACGAGAAGAACGTCCAGAGGGTTTTACGCTGACCGATTTCTCCAGGATGCGCCATGCATTCGGATTCTGGCAGGTTCTGCTGAG